TAAGCTGTACTGACTTATTTTATCTAGTTACTGTAGCTTATGACTTTAAGCAATCATATCACACTGTTTGATTATAAGAAATATAAACTAAAAATAAAAAATAAAATGAAATAAAAATCCCTAGACTTTTTCACATTCTACAATGAACTGCTGAGGAAATTTAATCCCACTAATGTAGTACACAATATTTTTTATATTTAATTTAAAAATTAATGAGTAAAAATTGAGAAAAACAGAAGAGAGTAAAATTAAAAACCATACCTGATAATGTGTACATTTGTTTCAAGCACATTTTGTTTAATGTAATTATACCAAGAAAAATTAAAATTCATTTTATGGCTATCCTTCCAAGATCTAAGAAATGCTGCATTTAACACTCTGTAACAGAGAAGAGAACCAAGCATAGGTAAACACCTGTACTTGCTGCCTCTCACAACCACATCAAAATTACAACTAAAAGGCAGAACAACAATGATCCAGAACTGCGGGAAAGCTGGCTGAGTGGAAGTTCCACAACTAGAGAGGTGAGTAAAGTGCATTGAGACTGGTAAGAGGTGCGGAGGCACGGAAAGTGCTGGCAACTGGATGTGCTGCACTTTTAATTGAGAAGGAGATACAAGCTCCCGGTTGCCTGAACTCCAGTTCCAGGCGAGATTCTGGGGGACCCAGAAACATAGGGGGAGAAACTAGACTGTCTGGCATCGGGACAGGAATGCGAGGGCGACTTTCTCGCAGAGGTGCTCGCAGCGATCATTGTTCCTGCACGGGGGTGCGGGACTCGGAGACCCAGGGACCTCTCCTGGGCACTGCTGACTGGCAGCCATTGCTGTTTGCTCTGCCCTGGTGATTCCCTGAGACCCCACCTCACCCAATTTACAAACCCACGTAAGCTGTATGCATTGGCTTTTGCATATGAATAGCATGTCCTTTATCCGCCTAAAACCTGTCAAACTGCAGCTGGGTCAGAGAGCCCCAGAGCTTCCAAAAGAAGGCCCAAGGCCCGGCAGCAGCAGCCTGACTTGCTTCACAGCTGGACTTCATCTGGGCACTTCCAAACCCCATACAAAGAGGAGGAGTTTATAGACTCCTCTGTCTCTGTAGCACCTGCTGTGTGGCCCCAGACAGTGGCTGACCTTGAACTTCCTTGGATATCCAAGAGCCAGTGTACCCCATGGTCAGAGTGAGACCATACCGGATTACAACTCTTCACATCCATAAGAGACACACTCAAGGGGCAGACTCAGTGAGCATCAAAGCCCTACTGAAGAAAGTCCTGCCCCATAAGGGTGTTGTCTGCACAACAGTTCTTCCAGTGTAGACATAGCTGGTCATCACAGCCAATTAGCCTGGAGGTCAATTCCTCCCAATGATACCAACAGCAATCAAGGGTTAACTACAAGACAGTGCAAACAGCCCACAAAGGGGTGCACCAGGAGTGTCCATCTCAGGTGACTGGGGAGGCTGAGCCACTGAGCCCTATAGGACACCTACCACACAAGGTGACTCTATCAACTCAAGGAGACTTAGCAACTCTACCCAATACATAGAATCAAACACAGGGAAGCAGCCAAAATGCAGAGACAAAGAAACAAGTCACAAATGAAAGAAATGGAAGAAAGCAAATTACTGAATATAGAGTTCAAAACCACGGTTATAAGGTTACTCAAGAATCTTCTAGAAACCTCCGAGAAATTTAGTGAAACCCTCACGGATATGAAAAAGGACCAATTAGAAATTAAGCATACACTGACTAAAATAAAGAATAATATACAGAGATCCAACAGCAGACTAGAACAGTGATGGCGAATCTTTTGAGCTCGGCATGTCAGTATTTTGAAAAACCCTAACTTAACTCATATATAGAAATTTTTTGATATTTGCAACGATAGTAAAAAAAAATTTATATTTTTGATATTTATTTTATATATTTAAATGCAATTTAACAAAGAAAAATCAACCAAAAAAATGAGTTCACATGTCACCTCTGACAAGTGTGTCATAGGTTCGCCATCATGGGACTAGAGGATCCCAAGAATCAAGTCAAAGATTTGAAATACAAATAAGCAAAAAACACCCAACTGGAAAAGCAAAAAGAAAAAAGAATTCAAAAATATGAAGGTAGTGTAAGGAGCCTCTGGGACAACTTCAAGTGTACCAATATCTGAATTATGGGGGTACCAGAAGAAGAGGTAGAGCAACATATTGAAAACCCATTAGAAGAAATAATGACAGAAAACTTCCCCTACCTGGTGAAAGAAATAGACTTACAAGTCCAGGAAGCGCAGAGAACCCCAAACAAGAGGAATCCAAAGAGGACAACACCAAGACACATCATAATTAAAATGCCAAGGGCAAAAGACAAAGAGAGAATCTTAAAAGCAGCAAGAGAAAAACAGATAGTTACCTTCAAGGGAGCACCCATACGACTGTCAGCTGATTTCTCAACAGAAACCATGCAGGCCAGAAGGGAGTGGAAAGAAATATACAAAGTGATGAATAGCAAGAACCTACAACCAAGATTACTCTACCCAGCAAAGCTATCATTTAGAATTGAAGGTCAGATAAAGAGCTTCACAGATAAGAAAAAGCTAAAGGAGTTTGTCACCACCAAACCAGTATTATATGAAATGCTGAAGGGTATTCTATAAGAAGAGGAAGAAGAAAAAGGTAAAAATAAAAAATTATGAACAACCAAGTGACAACAAATACATATCTATCAACAAGTGAACCTAAAAATCAAATGAATAAAAAAACCTGATGAACAGAACAGACTGGTGAATGTAATAGAATCAGGGCCATGGAAAGGGAGCAGACTGATAATTCTCATGGGGAAAGGGTTGTGGGGGGTGTGAGAAGAGGTTGAACAAAGAGCTTACACCTATGGAGGAGGTCAGTCGGAGGGGGGGCGGGCGCGGCACGGAGGCCTGGAGTGTGGTGGGAACTGGGTGGAGGGCAGCTATGGGGGGGAAAAAAGAGGAATATCTGTAATAATCTGAACAATAAAGATTAAAAAAAAAATACTCTGAGAGACTCCATTACATCACCCCCCTTTAGTTACCTCACAGTTCTTATCACTATCTGAAATTTTGTTTGGTAAATTTTTCATTGTTTACCTCTATTATGTATAGTTCCTGAACATACAGTCTCTATTGATCTCTCTTCTCTTGAGATCTCATCTAATTCCAGTATAAATTTAACTCCATCTATATGCTGACTACTCCCAAAATTATATCTCTAGCCCAGACCTCTTTCATGAAGTCCATAGCCTATATATAATGCGCGCGCACACACACACACAATTCTGTTTCATTTGCACTACATACATTTACATTTGTTTACTCTTTATGTCCAAAACTAAATTCTGGATCCCCCTACCACCTTAACAACATTCCCCATACATAGGCATTCCCATCTCAATTGATGGCCATGCTATCATTCGGACATCCTTGACTACTCTCTTTCTGTCCCATTCCACAGCTATTTCATTAGCAAATCGTATTGATTTGCCTTTAAAATATAGCTAACCAACTTATCATCATTCCCACTGTTATCATCCTGACCAAGATTCACCAAGTCTTACCTGTATTATTGCAGTAGCCAAAAAAACAAAAACAAAAAAACACACACAAAAAAACAAGTCTCCCTCCTTCTATCCTTGCTCCACACTCCAACAGATTATTTTCACATTATTGAGTGATTTGTTTAAATATAAAGCAAGTCACATCAAAACTCTATAATGCCTATTTCACTCAGTAAAAAAAACAAATCATTCTTTGGCCTTCTGTTCCCTCTCTGACTTTCTCTTTTGCTACTTTCCCTATTGCTAATTCTCACCTCACCTGAGTCTTTTGTATTTTCTAAATGTTCTTAATAAGAAGGTATTGTTTTCAATAACAACAACAACAACAAAGAACACCTCTCTTAAGCGATAAAAGTATGAAGGAGTAATCTCTCGTTTTAGTCAGACATTTTCTCTGCAAGAACAGAATTAATTAACAGGGTCAAGTCTTTAGAAGAAAAAACTAAGTTCCTGGCAAGAGCTTGTATGGCCTTGAATGCCTGTGGTCCTGATAAAGACTTCAATGAAGACAGGCCTCTAAAATAAATCAGACTGCATGGTGTGATAGAATGATGTCTGCATTCAGTATTGAAATAGCTCGCTAAAGCCTCTCCACTACTTACTAATTGCGAGACCTTGACTAAGTCACTATTCTCTCTGATTCATAGAAATCAATCTATAAAACTCATTATAGACCTAGTGCTTTACCAGAGAAATGCTTACAAAATTAACTCACCAAAAACACATCTAATAAGGCCGATTTATTCCCAGGAATGTTACCGAAAGTTCTTGATTAATCTGCACATACAAAAGGATGGCAGAGAATTAACCAAAACAGCACAAATGTTAAGGGCCTGGTTGCAGAATAAATGATCTACAAGTTCTAGAAACTATGAGCTCAAAACTGAGAGGGTGGATCCCGGAACTCGCAAAGGCAAAGAAGCCACACACCTGAAGAGAATACAGATTGTAAATGTTCAGATGATTATCTCTAGACCCAGGGTTGGGGCAAAAGGCTTCAGATGAGGACCAGAGAGGGAATTAACTGCCAAGAGGTTCTGGGAACTGCTCCTCAATGAAGCAAACCATGAGTCAGAAAAGACAAATCGCCTGCGGAGACACAGCTGGAAGCTAGGGTGTCGTTTCGTCTTCTCCTTTAGCGGGTCAGTTGTAGGAATTTTGTCGCCCAACCTGCCCCACTCACCGGGTCAACCGAGCTGCCAGGCCTTATAAGTTAGGAACTTAGTGGCCAGACCCGCCACGGACTGAGAAATCGCAAGGTGGCCATCAGCTCCGGAGACCGTCGCTAAGGAAACGGGGGGGCCAAGCTCCGGGATCACCGCATCCTGGTTTCCCCTGGGCCAGCCCCAGACCGTCGGGGGCGTGGCTACGGGAGTGACGCGCGGAAGGGGCGGGGCTAGGCGAAGCCGGACCTGGCGCGGGTGGCAGTCCAGGGCGCATGCGTGCTGTGCGGAGCGGTGGGCTACCTGGAAGGTTAAAGCCGGCTTCGGCAGAGGTGGGGGTATGGCCCGTACAAATGTCCCTTCAGCCTTATCTCTGCGAGAAGCCACCCAGCGGAAGTTGCGGACGTTTTCCGAGCTGAGAGGTACCGAAGGAGGAAGCCCGGGCCTCCCGGGCGGTGGAAAGGGAGGGTCCTTCATGTGCCCTGAAAGTTGCTGGACTGTCACTTCCTGGATGCTTCTCTCTCACCTGCGGGCCCAGGACGCTGGCCCGCGCATAGCTAATACACCTTGAATGTGTTATTCTTTTCTTTCACTGTCCTTTCTTTACGTGATGCTTGTTACTTTCTTTAACTTTATTTCTAGTTTCTAAGTAGGTGGATAGATACAGATATAGCTAGTGAAGCTATAAATTCAAGTTATGCATTTGGTTAGTTCATTAACAAATTATTTAAATAAATCTGAAATATCTAAAACATAGTGTCTTGACCTTTACAGATGTGATTTTAGCCTTCTCCCACCTCCCTACCCACTTCACCAGTTTGTTCCGTGATGTGAACGCTTACTGAGTTAAACAAATAATAATGCTAAAACACGGAGGGATTATGGATTATTAAAACGAGTGAGGGTTGAATCAAAATGTTTTTGGGTTTTTTTAAAGGCTATGTCACTTGTCATTCCTTGTACAACTGTGTAATAAAATTCCTTATTTTTTTGTGAAGTTACTGCTTTAGGAATACAGGAAATAATACTAGGATGACAATAAAACGTTCAAGACTATTACATTCTAGGTGATAAATCCTGTTTGTTAACTAATAAAAACAATTTTATCTTTTTTTTTTTCAATAAAAAAGAGCTTCCAGCTGTCTACCAAAAGTTCAGTCTGTCTTTTAATGAGTTCATCTGGGAGTTGGGAACTTTTCTATTATCCCAAATTGTATGTCATACTCCATTAGCCTTTGTAAAATTGCACGGCTCTTTTTAAGGTAGTAAAAAATAAAGTACCCACATTTATAAACAGCAACATTGTAGTAATAGATATTTGGGTTGAATCTTTCTTAGCCAAGGAACACTAGTCCTAATAATATGAAAATTGATTCACTTATTTGTTCCTTTGTCTTCTTATTTAAGAATTGAAATAATCTTTAGAAAATCAGTAATATTTCTCTTAAAATAATATCTAAATATAAATGGGTCTGTAGATCATAGAAGAAAGTAATCTAAAAGAGAGAAAACAATTTATGAACAGTCCTCATTAGAACTATTTGAATCACACCAACTACTAATTGCTTAATTCTCAAAAGCAAAAGATACATTTATGAAGATTATAATATTATCTCTTTGTTTTCCCCTCTTTCCAAGTAAGTAACAGAGAATTCTGATAATATTTATCATTTCCTTGTTTTTTCACATAGGCAAACCTGTGGCAGCTGGAGAGTTCTGGGACATTGTTGCAATAACAGCAGCTGATGAAAAACAAGAACTTGCTTATAAGCAACAGCTGTCAGAAAAGCTGAAAAAAAAGGAATTACCCCTTGGAGTTCAATATCATGTTTTTGTTGATCCTGCTGGAGCCAAAATTGGTAAGCATTTATGGTCAGATTTATATCATAGAGTCTAGGTAGAATAATCATTTAAGAAAAGTTTTCCTGTGGCATGCAGTTTATAAATTGCATATCTTCCCACCATAGTCTTTACTAACTTTAAAATTTTTATGTGAATTCAGTAGTTTTTAAAAAAATAAAAAATGATAAAAGGCATAACAACTCTCTCTCTCTCTCTCTCTCTCTCTCTCTATATTTCTCTCCCCCCTCCCCCTCACAACAATCTATCTCCCCCCCCCCTCCAAATTTTATTGATTTCAGAGAAGAAGGGAAAGGAAGAAAGGGAGACAAACATCAATTATGAGCGAGAATCATTGATCAGCTGCCTCCTGCATGCCCCCTACTGGGGATCGAGCCTGCAACCCCGGGCATGTGCCCTGACCAGAAATGACAGGGGAATAGGTCTACACTCAACTACTGAGCCATGCCTTCTGGGCAAAGCTCAGTAACTTTCTTAGGACAAGGCTTAGCAACTTCCTTACACATTGTGACTTACCATGGAAAAACTTCCCAAATATTATGTTATGTAAAAGACATTTGTATTAATTTTAATAAAATTTATTCAGGTAGTAAATAATCCATTGGACCTTATCAGTCGGGTTCCTAAGATCCCTGCAAACTCCACATTTTCTTCAGAAATTTATGTAAAGAGATCAAAACAAGAAAAATATATACTACTGACTTCTTGGGACCACAATTGCAAAATACAAAAGAGCACAGTCTAATGCAGGGGTGGGCAAACTTTTTGACTCGAGGGCCACAATGGGTTCTTAAACTGGACCGGAGGGCCGGAACAAAAGCATGGATGGAGTGTTTGTGTGAACTAATATAAATTCAAAGTAAACATCATTACATAAAAGGGTACGGTCTTTTTTTTTTTTTTAGTTTTATTCATTTCAAACGGGCCGGATCCGGCCCGCGGGCCATAGTTTGCCCACGGCTGGTCTAATGGCTTCGGTATCAGAGATATTTACTTTAAAAATCCAATTTCCATAAAGTTTGCCTTTTAACCTTTCATTGCATACTATTTTTGTGAGGGCAGTTTTTCATGTAATGCTAAAACTGAAGCCCCTTGATACCAGAGATAGGGTATCTATATCTGACATTGGCATTGTTCTAAGTAGCCATGTTTTAATCCTCACAGCTAGCAGTCAGTACTATATGATTCCCATTGTATAGATGAGATTTAGAGGCACAGAAAATTAAATAACTTGCCCAAGGTAATTAGTAAGGAAACCAAATTCTAAAAAACTTTTTAAAAAGCAAGTTTAACTTACATATTTGATTGTCATATGGGAGAATTATTTAAATGGTTTTTGCAATTTGTCATTCCAAATGAATTATATATATAATACTTACAGTATATATATATATGTGTGTATATGTGTGTGTGTGTGTGTATATATATTTACAGTTTTCTGGTGTTGCGGATTGCCTATTTTATCATTTCTTCATTGTGTATTAATATTTTCGGGAGAAGATTAGCTCGTCATTTAGGGGCTGATCTCTGGTTTTCATTGCTAATCGTTTGTTTAATTATTTAATTGCTATGAAATGTGTATTTAAATTGATTCTTTTGTCCATATTTTTGTTCTCTGCCTAGTTAATTGTAGCCATATCCTCAGAGTTCTAACACCTAAATTCACCATACTTACAAAATTTTAGTAGGTTTATATGAAATAAAGTGTACATTTTTAACTTTATTTTCAAGGTAATGGAGGATCAACATTTTGTGCCCTTCGACATTTGGAAAAGCTATATGGAGATAAATGGAATTATTTTACCATCCTATTAATTCACTCCGGTAAAATTATACTTTACTGATTTACTGATTTTACCTTTGATATCTTACAACAGTGGTTCCTAACCTTTTTTTGGCCGTGCCCCACCTAGCATCTCTAAAATCCTGATGCTCCCCCCACCCCCCCACCTCACCCACCCGGTGACATACAATTCTTATTATTCAAAAAGTGAACTCCTATTCAAGTGGAGGAAGCCTAAAAGGCCATTAGCTTGGTCTAAACAAACTTCCAAAGAACATGGCATCCATGAAAGAGAAAAATAAAAGAACGAAAGGACAATTGAAGTACTGAGGAAGAAATCACTAAGAAATTGTTTAAAAAATAATAATAATATGAAGTGATATGAAAAAAATAGCAAATAAGTTTCAAAACATATAATAGAGAACTGGAATACATAAATATGTCACAATATATATTTATATACTGTATATGAGGCCCCTAGAACCATAAGGAATGCAAAAAATTTACTGTTAATAACTCATTCTCAAATTGCCATCCTTAAAAATCAAATTGTGCCCCATGTTGGGAACCACTGTTTTAGAACTTTCCTTTTTTTTTTTTGGTCTTTGAAGTTAGTCTGCTTTGAAAACAAATATTTCATGCTTTTCTTGATATTTTTAGTTTGTAAGTAATATTACATTTTCCACAATATTTCTCTTTAAAATTGTGGATCACATACATTGATTGTTTATGGGTATTATGTTTAGTATGTATATACAAAATTATTTTCCAAAGACAGAGCTCATCAAAATATGAACATTTTTCAATAAGTCTTTAGAAGGGATTCTTGCTGTAGGGAAGAGGCTGGTTTAGCACTGTGATCCCCATACTATTGCCAAAAACCTTCTGTCTTGCATTTTTATTTGATTATTGATAGACAAAGTCTATAATCCTTGAAGGAGTTACAAGAAAAAAAAAGGTGGTCACAAAACATGGAGTTGATGAGAAAATATCTGAGGGAAAATTACATATACAAGAGGACATTGTAAAGCAGAAAGGTAGGAAAGAAATAATCTCAGAACAGAGGATAGGTGTTTATTTTAATTGGATAAGTTTGGTTGTATGAAAATTTTTATTCTGTGGAAACCTCTATTATTTTTCTCTATGAATTAGGTCTCTATGAAAACTTTGTCATGGATTGGCACCGTGGCTTTCAAGGCACTATCCATTTCTTATGCTTGTTATACAGAACAGTGATTTTTAAAAAATATATATATATTTCTTGATTGATTTCAAAGAGGAAGGGAGAGGGAGAGATAGAAACATCAGTGATGAGAATCATTGATCAGCTGCCTCTTGCACACCCCCTACTGGGGATCAAGTCTGCAACCTGGGCATGTGCCCTTGGCCAGAATCGAACCCCGGGACCCTTCAGTCCCTAGGCCAACACTCTATCCACTGAGCCAAACCAGCTAGGACTGTAAAGATGATTTCAAATAAAGCATCCAAGTTATGATTTTATGGCTGGCTGTAAAAGAATTTCAAATTTAGCCCAGCTGGCATGGCTTAGTGGTTGAGCAGCCACCTGTGAACCAGTATTTCACTGTTTGATTCCTGGTCAGGGCACATGCCCAGGTTGTGGGTTCGAACCCCAGTAGGGGCCGTGCAGGAGGCAGATGATCAGTGATCCTTTCTCCCTATCCCTTTCTCTCTGAAATCAATTTAAAAAAAAAAGATGTCAAGAACATGTAGCAAAATTTAAATATTACTCAAATAAAACAATTAGTTTTCCTAAGCCATCAAAAATTTTTAAAATTTATAGTTTTATTCCAGAACAAATATTTAGTGAAAGTTAAATTCGATATCAGAAAATATATAGTTAAAAATATCTAATTATAATGCTAAGCTTTGCTATTAGCTAGTCTTTAGAACAGTGTACTGTATGCCAAGTGCTTTACTTGTATAATTGATCTCATAAAACATGACAAAGCAAATATTATTCTACATTTGTTTATTTGGATTGTGTCCAAAGATAAAAAACTTAACAGGTAGTAAGCCTGAGTTTGAACCCAATTTTGTCTGACTCTCTCTACTGTTTTAATACTGCCTCTCACTGTACTTACTAAACATAAAAATGATGTAAGCTATTTAATTTACTTACAAGAACACACTTCAAGGAATTAAGAAGTCATTAGGCTAATCTTAGAGGGAAAGCCTATTTAAATTAAAAAGAAGTATAAGTTTTAAAACGCTTTTACATAAATGCACCTTTGCTTCCTTTAAGTGTATGTAATAATTTGAGGAAAGACACTGCATTTTGGAAAGTACAATTTAGTAGATAATGTTGGAATTGGTATATTATTTTTTTGTGACTTGCTTTTACCTCTGTAAAGTGGATTCTTATTGTAGGAATTTAAATATGGTTGAAATTGTTTAAAATGTGGATATGAGGTCATGTTTTAGCCTGTGGTCCATTTTACTAGCTATACAGTGGATTTTAAACAGTTCACATTCTCTAAAGTATATGGAAATTCCTTTCTAATCTAGAGTCTTTAAAACTACAGTATTTCCAAAGAATATGGGAGAATTTTTCTTTGAATTTGTATTCTGGAGCTTATTATTATTTTCCGAGTTACAGTAATATGTTGTATATATTGAATATTTTTAGATACATTTTGAGTTACTCCTGATGCCCCTGGGTTTTTAAATTATTAGAAACATTCATATAAACATTTTATAAGAGTTATTTCATTTAATTTTATAGGTGGCTACAGTCAACGCCTTCCAAATGCAAGTGCTCTGGGGAAAATTTTCACTGCTTTACCTTTTGGTAACCCCATTTATCAGATGTTAGAATTAAAACTAGCCATGTACATTGATTTCCCCTCACATATGAATCCTGGGATTCTGGTTACCTGTGCAGATGATATTGAACTTTATAGTATCGGAGAATCTGAGTTTATCAGATTTGACAAGCCTGGCTTTACGGCTTTAGCTCATCCTTCTAGCTTGACTGTAGGTACCACACATGGAGTATTTGTCTTAGAACCTTCTAATTGTTTAGAATATAGTGACCTCGAATATCGGTGTTGCCATCGTTTCCTTCATAAGCCCAGCATAGAAAGGATGTGTCAGTTTAATGCTGTGTGTAGACCTGGAAATTTTTCTCAGCAGGACTTGTCGGGGGGTGACACTGCCTCTCTTAAATTTGAATCTGAGTATGTCTACACAGACAGCCTATTTTACATGGATCATAAATCAGCGAAAAAGTTACTTGCTTTTTATGAAAAAATAGGCACACTGAACTGTGAAATAGATGCTTATGGAGACTTTCTGCAGGCTTTGGGACCTGGAGCAACTGTGGAGTATACCAGAAACACATCAAATGTCACTAAAGAAGAGTCAGAGTTGGTAGACATGAGGCAGAGAATATTTCACCTTCTTAAAGGGACATCACTAAATGTTGTTGTTCTTAATAACTCCAAATTTTATCACATTGGCACAACTGAAGAATATTTGTGTCACTTTACTTCAGCTAGCAGTTTGAAGTCAGAGCTTGGCTTACAGTCCATAGCTTTTAGCATCTCTCCAGCAGTACCAGAATGCTTTGGTAACACATCCTGTATCATTCAAAGTATATTGGATTCAAGATGTTCTGTGTCACCTGGCTCAGTTGTGGAGTACTCGAGATTGGGGCCTGATGTTTCAGTTGGGGAAAACTGCATTATTAGTGGTTCTTCTATCATAACAACAGCTGTCCTGCCTGCGTATTCTTTTGTGTGTTCCTTAAGCTTGAAGATGAATGGACACTTAAAGTATTCAACGATGGCATTTGGAGTGCAAGACAACCTGAAAAGGAATGTTAAAACATTGTCAGATATAAAGTCACTTCAATTCTTTGGCGTCTGTTTCCTGTCATGCTTAGATATTTGGAGTTTGAAAATTACAGAGGAACTCTTCTCTGGAAACAAGACATGTTTGAGTTTGTGGAATGCTCGTATTTTCCCAGTTTGTACTTCTTTGAATGATTCAGTTACAACATCCATAAAGATGTTAAATGCTGTGCAAAGCAAGTCAGCATTCAGCCTGAATAACTATAAGCTGTTGTCCATTGAAGAAATGCTTGCCTACAAAGATGTAGAAGACATGATAACCTATAGGGAGCAAATTTTTCTAGAAATTACTTTGAATAGAAAACTTTGATTTAGAGACATCTTAAATATTGCATACTTTGCCTTTCTTGATTGAGCTAGATTGCAAATATAGGTGTTTTCTATAGATGTTTGTTTTATTGAAGTCATTTAACAAAAATTATGTTAACAGTTGCTGCAGCATAAAATCAATAACACAAAAATACAGATAAACCATTTTTGAAGAAAGAATATTTCTAGGCTGTAACTTCAGGAAAGGGATTTTTAGATGTTTATTACTATTTTAATATTTCTATAAATTAAGATGGATTTATGGAGCATTAGTTTGTTCACATAATAATGTACTAGTTTTAAAGGTATTTTTCTAAACATACCTTTAGTTTTTCCCTCTTCTTTTGGGCTTCAGTTCCAAAAAAGTTCTTAGTGTTTATTGGCAATTCTCTTCTCAGATGTAGTAATTCTGATTAACTAATAAAAATAGCATACTATCTGATCTTCAGAGCACTGTTGGAATACTGTCAAAATAACATTTGCAGGGACAGATTTATAATTAGTAAATTCAGATTAAATTAATGCTTAAAATATTGTGATAATCTTAATTGATAAGTAATGGACAACTCTGAAATTGATGCTAAAAATCTCATTTATTGATCTTACCAAAATGAAACAAAAAAGGGTATATGTGTTATTTTATCCATATAAACTTGAAAATGTGTTTGTATATCCTAAAAATGTTCCCTAAATTTTCATCCATAGGAAAGCATACACACCCACAAAAGTCAAATATCTATGTGGGGAATAATTGAGATTTACTGATAATAATATGTTTATTCCGAGCCCTACTTTCATCCTCATACTAATCTCTTTAATAGAACTGTTAAATTACCAGATGAACTGATTTTACTTTTCATTTCTTATTTTCTGTCCATGCGCTGGTAATGATGCTGAGAAGCAATAAATACCCAAAAGGTAGATAGCGGGAAGGAGCCAGAAGAAGAGAAAGATTAAGAAAATGCAAACATGATAAAGAGCTTCAAGAAATAAAAATTGGCTGGTATCCCAAGTTATGTGTACCAATCTATATATATAAAAGCCTAATATGCTAAGTGTCCCCTCGGGAGTTTGACCTAGAAACCAGGAGTTCAATCGCTTGCTAATGATGTGCTCTGACCACCAGGGGTTGGCGTGGAATGAAGGAAAGCCCTAGCCAGCAGCCGGAAGGCCTTGGCCCTAGGGACCTTACCCGTGCATGATTTCGTGCACAGGGCCTCTAGTTTGATATAAGCACATAAGTGAAATCTGCTCATACCAAAGTCTAATAATCCTATATAATAAAAGCATAATATGCAAATCGACCATCCATTTGGGACCAAGCTATGACACCCACTGGTGCCAGGCCAGCCAAGGTGGGTGCAATGCGATTGGCCAGGGGCCCGGCCATCACCCCATGATTGCCTTTCAGAAGGATGCCCAGGCCACCAACCAGCGGGCTGCGGTGGGTGGGCAGGGCCTCCCTCTCTGAGGGAATCCCGGGTCCTGGGTGCCAGCAGCTAGAGAAAGCCTAGGTCCTGGGTGCCGGCAGCTGGAGGGGGTACAGGTCCCAGGTGCTGGAGGGAAGCCAGTGCCAGCAGCCGGGTGAAGGAAGGCCTACTCTTGTATGAATTTCATGCATTGGGCCTCTAGTAATTACAGAAAAGACTTGTAATAGTTTTGTATTTTAACATGAGTAAATTGAAATAAGAACTGGTCTGTGCCACTTTTATTGATGTATCCAATGACAAAACGAAAATAATTATTTGGTAAACCAGAAGTAACTTGTCTGTAACTCTCAATTATGATATTTATGTCTTGTTTTTTTCTTTCTTAAAGGTTCTTTCCAAGGACAAAATAAAGATATATAGTAGCTATTGTGTAGCATTTACTGATTTACTTGCACAGTTTTCAGAGGATATTATGTTTATCATTTATTAAATGTTCAATATTGTATTTCACAGTATAATCTATATAATTTTGTACAATCTAAAAGGCCATCAATTATTATTAAGAATCACCATTATTTTATGTTCCACAAAAAAGAGAAAACACTACCAATAAAATATTACTCAATGCTTTCTTTGTTACTTGAAGTTTTTATATTTATTGGCGATCTCTTTTAAATGCACTTACAGATTTTTGTTATTTTACCTGCTTACATATACATATAAAGGATCAAAATGCAGTATTGAAATATAGTCAATTATGTTCTTAAACTTTACATTTAGAGACAAGTTTTTTTTCTAAAGCACTCTTCAATTGAAGACTTATTGATGTCCACGCATTTCCACCTAGTACCATCCTACTGTCAAATGCATTTCCTAAGTACCGCCATTACATTACTGTCCGGGTTTTCTTTCAAGCAGTGGACTCCAGATACCTATTTTGCAAGTTTTTGATGCTATTTGACAAAATTGAGTTTCATTTTTGCCTCAATTTAATCATATCTCTAGAAGAATGTGGCTTCTACTCAGGGGAAGGTTTCTTACAGATCGGTGATCACCATTTTAAGCATAATTCTGCACAATGTCTGGATTCTAGCTGCTCTGAAATGTTATCATTTCCCAAGAATTTGTCAGTGCCTCTTGCCTTGAGATGCATTACTTGGTATGTAGTACCATCTGTGTATCACCAGCAGTGTTCCTAATTCAGAGAGGTGATAATCCCGAGCACGTATAAGTAAGAAATTGGACATTTTCTTAGATTTATTATTTTATTTTATAAAATTATAGCCTTTAATCATATACTCTCTAGTTTTGTAAAGGATACCTACAATGTGTAATTAAACATATTGTATAAACTTATTGATGAGTTAATAATTAACAGTGACCAAGAAGGGCATGAAAAACAAAATCCATCATTTGGTATTAATCTTCTACCTTCTGCATTTATTTACCAAACTAAGCAAAAAGGATATCAGGAATGTGTATCCATGCATATACTAAATTGAAATAAAAACTCAAAAATCTAAATGATATGCTTGAAATCACAAATTTTTAATGGTATTAATGCAGAACTCCCAGAACCTGTGGTGATCTATTCATCTCCTGAGGCTAAGCAATATTTTCTATGTTAGGTAAAGATAACCAAATTGAGCATAGAGCTGAAATCCAAACTTTGCCTGCTGCAAAATGTATACATCCAGCTGATAACTGGTGTACTACACAATACCAGGGATGCCATTTGCGTACACCATGTTGTCCTCTGGACTTGAACAACTTGGAGACCCGGAATTTAGGCACCTTGATGTATATCGTCTAGCAGAATTAAGAAGGAAAGAAAAGCCAAAAAAAATAAATTTGTTCAAAGTTGTCTGAAAGATTTTTAGATGTTATTTTTGTTGTTATTTAGCTAAATGAAACAGTTTCCAACTATGTTAAGGACTAAGGGATAGAGAACCAAGATGGCAGCATAAGTAAACACGGTTCTCGCTGACTCCCACAACCACATCAAAATTACAACTAAAACACAGAACAACCATATTCAGAACCACCTGAAAGCTGGCTGACTACAAGTCCCACAAGTAGAGAAGTAAAGAAGAAAGTACATCGAAACTGGTAGGAGGGGCAGGGGGCAGAAGAGTGGAACCAGCTGGTCTGACATCCACATGGGGAATTTTTTTAATTGGGAGGGATATCTCCACTGCAGAGGCCTCCTGTGAGAAGCAAGGGGTCTCAGCCCCATACCAGACCCCCAGGACGGTTCCAGAGCTGTTGCAAGAAGTCCTCATAATTTTGGGTTGCAAAACCCAGTGGGGATTGTGGCGGAGTGACATGGAAGCTACTGGAGACCCAGGCAGTTCCTCTTAAAGGGCCAGCACATGAACTTACTTGGACTCACTCCCTCTGGGTTCCTGCACTGGGCAGCAGCTTTGGGGGATCCAGGGACATATGGGGAAGAACTGGATTGTCAGGAACTCAGGGGCAGCTTCTTCCAGACAGGGGTACTTGCAGGGGTCATTGTTCCTGTACTGGACCATCCCCCACCGCAGAGCTGACTGGCAGCCATATTTGAGTTTCCATCAGCCTGGTTCACACTGTTTGCTCCATTCTGATGATTCCCTGAGACCCTACTCCATCCAATTTGCAGCCCCATCTAATCTGCAGCTGCTTTTCCATATGAATGGCCTATCCTGAATCAGGCTTCAGACTTAACTAAAATATCTTAAACAAGCAGCAGCTGGCATCTGCATGCCCCATACCTATCAATAACAAGCCCAAGACCTGGCACTAGCACCAGCCTGTCTTGCTTCACAGCTTGGCTTTGCCTGGGCACTTCCAAGCTCAATACAAGTAGCAGCCATCTGCAGATCCTTCTGTAGCTCCTGCTAGGTGGCCCCAGGCAGTGGCTGACTGCACCTTCTGGGAGACCCAGAGCCAGTGCACCTGGTGGACAGCTTCAGATCACACCAGGTTACAACTCTACCACACCCATGAGTGATATGCTCAAGGGACAGACTCAGTGAGCACCAAAGCCCCACTGAAGCAAGTCCTGCTCTGTAGATACATCTCCTGCACAGCATCTCTTCCATTATAGTTGCATTTGGTCCTCACAGCCAATTGACCTGGAGGTCAGTGCCTTCCAGTGATGCCAACAAGAATCAAGGCTCAACTACAAGACTGTGCACAGAGCCCACCCAGGCACACATGGAGTGTCCAGCTCAGGTGAGTATAGGACACCTACAACACAAGGCCACTCTGCCAATTCCAGGAGCCATAGCAACTCTTCCTAATACCTAGAAACAAACACAGAGAAGCAACCAAAATGTGGAGACAAGGAAACAGGTCACAAATGAAAGAAATGGAAGCAAGCAAACTACTGGACACAGAGTTCAAAACAATGGTCATAATGTCACTCAAGGATTCTAATGAGTTTCAAGGGACCTAATGAGAGCTTCATGGGACTTAGTGAAACTTTTAAGATAGTAATGAGAATTTCAAAGACATGAAAAAGGACCAGTGAGAAATTAAGCATACACTAACTGAATTAATAATTTATAGGGACTCAACAGTACAGTATTACAAGAATCAAATCAAAGATTTAGAATATGAGGAAGCAAAAAACACCCAATCAGAAGAGCAAAAAGTAGAAATAATCAAAAATATGAAGATTGTGTAAGGAGCCTCTGGGACAAGAAATATAATGAACAAAGTAAAGTGATGAATAAAATAGAGCCAAAGGCATGGAAACATGGAGCAGACTGACAAATCTCAGAGGGTAGGGGGGAGGGGTGGTGGGAAGAGATTAACCAAAAAATCTTATGTGCATATATGCATTACCTAGGAACGCAGACAGTAGGGTGCTGAATGCCTGGTGTGGGGTGGAAACTGGGTGGAGGGGAGCAAATGGGGGGAGAGGAAGGGGACATTTATAACACTCTTAATAAAGATTTAAAAAAATAAAAAGAACTAAGTTATTAAAGGAAAGACCTTTATAAATTCACTTGCAAAATACATTTTAAAATTCATTTAGTGCACGTGAAATAATTGAAGCAATTACTAGTTACTTGTTTAATATTTTGTATCTCTAAAATTTTGTTTAGGCAAAGCCAATTTCTATAGAAGTCAAGAAACAATTTTTATTGTTTGTATTTGGTAGAAGTGTATTATTAATATTACTTCTATTGAACTTTGTCAAAGGTTAATGCACATTCTCCTTCCCTTTAATATCAATGTGTTAAGCTCCATATAACATACTAATCTTCATGTTCTTCATGTTTCTGTTTGTTTATATTCACAGAAATTTCTATTTAGGTTTTGTAATATATTATGAGGGGAAAATTGCAGCAGTCTCTGGTGGGGAAGGACCAGTATCTGTCCCTGACAGCTAGTTTCATAAGCCACAACCAAATTGCCACATATTCAAACTTGTCAGTTTTGCTATAGTCCAGTAGAATGTAATTTGGTGTCAGGATAAAACCTGGAATAAACCCCTGAACAGGCAGCTCCTCAGTTGGTAGTGTCATTCTGATACACCAATGTTGAGGGTTCTGTTCTTGGTCAGGGCACATACAAGAATCAACCAATGAATGCATAAATAAGTGGAAAAACAAATGAATGTTTCTCTCTCTTCCTCCCTCTCCCTCTCTCTCTTCTCTCTTTTCCCTT